TGGGGAGAAGAGGAGAAAAAGAGGAAGAGGAAGAGGGAGAGAAAGGAGAAGGAGAAGGAGGAGGAGGAGGAAGGAGAAAGAGAAAAAGGAGGAGGAGGGGAGGAAGAGGAGGAAGAAGAAGAGGAAGAAGAGGAAGAAGAAGGAGGAAGAGAAGGAGGAAGGAGAAGAGGAGGAGGAGGAGGAGGAAAGGGAGGAAGAAAGAATAAGAGAAGGAGAAAAGAAGAAAAAGAAAAAGAGAAGGCAGAAGAAGATAAAGGAGGAGGAGAAGAAAGGGGGAGGGGGCTGGTGGCATGGCTCAAGTGGTAGAGTGCCTGCTTACCTCCTGCCTCTTAGCAAGTGCCCAGGCCCTGAGTTCAAACCCCAGTACTACATACATATATGCCCATATTAATCCAAGAGCTACCCCCACTCCAAACCCTGCTCCAGGCTTCCATATCTGGATTTGGATCCAGGGTTTCAGTCTAGTCTTTTAGCTCCCTGGATATCAATTGCCCTCCCACCCCCACCCCCACTCCCGAGCTGGGGCTTGGTGCATAACTTTGCATCTTTGGTCTTTGGGTCATTGGCTCCCTGCCTGCAGCGCCCCTCCCTAGACACGGGGCTGGTCACAGCTGAGGCTTGTACTCCCATGTCACCTCCTAGGAGATGGCTTCCTGGTTCTCACCTCTGAATGAGGTTGATCTTTCTCTGGATCCCCTGCCCCTTCTTCTTCTCCCCTGTCCCCTGCCTTGCCGGCTTCATGTTCTTTTCTGCATCTCTTAATGCTGGACTCTGCATTTCTGTTGCTTCTGGTCAGTCTTCTCGGGTCCTTTAGGATTGACTTTGCAGGCTCCCTTCTGCAGTACGGACTCGGCCTGCCCACAGCCAGCGTCAATGAATACAGATGGTACAACAGACAGCCTTGGCCCTTCTCGTGGCTGGTGGCGATGCCCATGATCCCTTTATTCAGCAGTGGGCTCTGCCCTTGGTTCTAGACCCCAGGGCCGGGGCAGCACTGGCTCTCCCAGGCTCAGGAGCTGTGGCACATGGCTAACTTTCTGATTGTCCTCTTGCAGGCCCTCCAGAACGCCATAGCCAACATCCTGCCCAGAGGCCATCCTTGGATGTGTAAGCAAGTTCGGAATACAAGTTCAGATCTAAGCTCCTGAGCTTTCCCCACAAGCCTGCCCATGTCCTTGACCACCTTGGCGAATGGTACCTCTGGCTTTCCAGGTGATTGGCTCAAAAAGACAAAACAAAACAAAACCCTCAGTTGTTTTTCTAAATGCCTGTACTGAGGAGGGGATTCAGGACCAGGGCTTTGTTCCTTAGCTTTTTCTTTTTTTGGGGGGGGGTCCAGTCGTGGGGCCTGAACTCTGGGCCTGGGCGCTGTCCCTCAGCTCTTCAGCTCAAGGCTAGTACTCTACCACTT